CAGACTGGCATGAGCATAGCAATGCTGTCCAATCAAAGTGTGAATCCTTCATAAATATATCACACTATTAGGGAGTTAGCTGTTTGAGCAGGAGCCCAGTGAGAGAAAAGAGAAAAATAAAAGTAATGTCCTGAATTTTTAATTAATTCTTCCTCTTTGCTGGATAGCTTCCAATACTTGCACGGATTTGCAGCAGAAGATATAATCAGAACTTTCACAGACATATAATCATGTCATAACTTCATCAGATCTAAATATAATTGGCAAAGGGGTGTGTGTGTGTTTGTGACGGACTGTCTTCTTGTGTTCAGATCTTAATCAGATCACAGCCACACCCTCCGACTGTTAATAGCATATGGCTGCAGTTTTGATTTGATCAGTGCGGTAACTGATGACCATGCAAATTTAGTCGAGCCCCGGTTGCCAGGGGGAACCCGTGTTGTGCAGGTCTTTTGATTGGCTGCAGGGTGGTCGCATGCAGTGTCGCTTGGCGCCCAGCTGGGACACAGGCCACATGTGGCGAGTCTGGAGACATGTAAGGTCGGTGTGTTCGCAAACACTTGGCTTCGCCCCGTCAGTCCACAGATGCAACCATTATCCCCTCTCCCCCATCCTTCCCTGCTCTCTCCTCCACACATACACACACATGCACCTTTCTATGCAGTAAACGGGCTATAAACGTTACATTTCAGTCATGCGCAGAAAACCGTGAGCACAAGTTGAGGCTGTGAGACTTAACGTGCATCCTCAATTGCATTCATCTTGTCTGACAATAAGGGTCACCCATGGGTTAGGGAATGCCAGGGGCTTGTTGGGGGTGCTGATTAAAGGCGAGATCATGGTTTCGGGGCTTTAAAAACCTGCAATATTACTCCATCATGTGACTTGTATTTTCCATATTCCTAGAGGGGCAAAAGAGGCTTTTTTCTCTAGCGAGCAGTAGAGTTAGGATTCCCCAGGGAGTACAAGATGAGAGGGGAATTAATAATGTGCGCGGACTCAAAGGCTTTGACTGAACTAAAGGATCAGAAGCGGCTGAAGAGAGTGTATTAGAGGTAGAATGGAAAACAGAAACATGGGCAAAGAGAAGAAAGTAAGAGAGACTGACAAGCAACCTTTGAGCAAAGGCTGGAAGCAGTAACCTTATAAAAGAGATAAAACAAGTCTGTTTCATAAAAAAAATGAAGGAGAAGAAGAAAAAGAAAGGGTTTTTTAAAAAGACCAGCTATTAAAGGGATGCTCCCCTGAAGTTATCCTTTCAGTATCCTTTGTATTCCTTTTATAGTCCTACAGCTTTGTGATGTGTTGACATCAATAGTGAAACAATAACTGTACGTTAAATAGATTAATAAGAAGCATAATACTCATTATAAGCAGTACATGAGAACAGTTTTTCATTCCTTCAGCTGCCCTGAAAACAGATTGCAAATTAGCATTTCTTACCAAAGCTAGCGTGAGTCACGAGCTGCCATGGCTCCGAGTACTGAGAACATATTTTTCGCATTATGATGTGTGAAGCCAACATGAACTAAGAAAAGAGAACAAACTTCCTCATGTTGAGGAAACTTGAGATTTAATATTAATAGACTTTACCCTGTGATGTGTGAAAGTCACGCTAGCATGCTCAGTGCTGGCACACAATCTCCTCAGGCCACACGGGGTCTGGCCCTGCTGTGACCTCTCTGGCTCGAAGCCAGTGGCTCTGCTATCCTTTGAACCTGGGCAAACCTGGCTCGAGGCACCTGTGTTTAGCCAGATCTGAGTGCAGCTGATCATGGCAGGCAGCATGAAATATTAATTGCTATTAAATGCCAAGCGCGTACACCCGTTCATCCTCTTGTTTCATTCGCATTTTACATTTTTGTCTTTGCTCTGTCTTTAAATTTTGTCATCTGTCTCTCACCCTTCAACAAAGAATATGTAGGCTCATAAGACCAAAAAAACTCTCAATAATGATGATGGGGCAGTTTGCCAGATGCGTTCCCTTCCTGCAGCTTTGCCAAGTGGGCAAAATGCCACCAAGCAGCACAATGGGTTTATCCTCAGTGATTTCTTAAATACCCTAAACACAGACACCTGAAACAAAGACACATAGTAATCTTTTCTATCTACTCCCTTGCTTCTTTCCACATCTTTATCTGTCTCTTTTTCCTTTTTTGCCTCCATCTCTATTTACAGTAAACAAATAGGTGTCAAGTTAAAACAAAAATATTATCCCTTAGTCTCTTCATAAAGGGGACCTTCACACTATAGAAGCCATACTGTTATCTTTGTAGTCTCTGAAAACTCAATCCATAGTTGTTCTCAGTAATCGCTTTTATCCTGTAAACAAACTAATGCTGTCCCGAATGCCATTTTTAGGCTTTTCGGTGATAATCAGCCATAATAATTGAAGCTTTGCCCTTTGCATCCTGCAGTCACAACAACTCGTTTCTGATTATGCAACCTTGGCAAAATCACCAAAACACCGTATAGATGAGTAAAAAGACAATGGCCAGATCTCTAACAAGCTGAATATCCATGTGGAAATTTCAGCAAAGAAGCAAGACATCTCCACCATCATGATTAAAACACTAAATTAGGGATCTTTTAAAACAATGCTTCTGCCTGTCAGTAGACTGATGGAGACATTCACCAGCAACTTGAATTGAAGCTGGTCAGGCAGCATGTGGTGGCCTAACACTGCAGTATCTTTCCTTTAATTTCCTTTAATTGCAAATCTATATGTAAAGAAGGTATATAATGTTAGACTGACCCTGTGTTGAAACTATTAAGCACGACCAAAACACTCCATTACGCAGGTCTTTAGCAGCTCAGAGAAATAACCTCTTATTATCTGGTTGAATAAAAGGATTCCCCCTCTAGAGTGGTTTGATGTAAATGAATGTGACATATATGCACTTTGTGTAACTGATTATGTTAAAGACAAGAACACCTTGAATAGAGAGAGTGGACAACAGCACTTCAACACAAGCACTCCACAGCTCGAAATTGATGGTCTTTGCTTCATAACAGCCATTAACATGTGCTCAAGTTGAATGTTAAATACTAAAGGCGTTGAGGTGCCACATTGTGTGTTTAGAGAAGAGGGAATCTGATGAGATGCTGTCGATGGCACACCTGCCAAGGAACAATTTTGTCCTCCCTGTCGAGGAGACATCTGGCATTGCCACGGTGTTACAACCCGAAATACACCCAGGAGTGGGTAATGAGGCATAGGAGACAGGGGGTTGTGTTTTTTTGTGTGTGAGTGTGTCTGTGTGCGTGCGTGTGTTTTGGGGCGGTGGTCCTCATCTTCCTGAACTAGCCTCTGTAGGGCCTGCAAGCGCACCATCTGCAGTCCTTAGCTGTAAGCCCACTTGCGTGTGACTCATAAGCAGCAACAAATCAACTTAAATGCATGCACAGACACATTTGAGCGTTTAAAACTAAAAAGCTAATAAGTATGGAGGCTTTACAAAAAAGCTGCCAGCCACCTAGCCGAGGCTCTGCACCACATGTCTTTGTATGTTACTATTAACATGGTGGCCTGCATTATGTTTACACACAGTCCTGTGTGGAGCTGCATACGCATGAGAGGGGTTGCTAAGAAACGCTCAAGTAATGTTCGATAATCACCCTCAAAGAACAGAGGAGCTGCAAGGAGTGTGTTTTGTTTAACTGCAGCATATACGATGTAAATGCGAGTGGCTCTTCCCCTCTGGTGTCTTTTACTTTTCTTTTTCTGTTGTTGCCTTTGATTTTTTTTTTTTCTTTCTGGAGCCTGTCTGTTAAAATCCATCGAAATGGACACAGACGATCAATCGCTTACATCATAAATCATAAGTCTTTCAATTCTGATTTATTATTAGAATAATTACGTGGTGCATAACAAGAAACAAAAATGGAACACAGTATAATGAAGCCGTCTGGAGCTGCTTTAGTGTTAGACGACTGCTTTCGACAGTATTATGCAGAGATGCAATGAAGGTGTCTTAATGGTGAATTCTTAGTAGCATATCAGAATGTATTGCAAGAAAAGGAGATAGCTGTAAATGTATGTGATGCTTGTGTTTTACAGAAAGTGGTGGATACAGCCTTGAACATTGGGGGTAAAGGTGTAGCGGTATGAAAACAAAGCATTTCACAGCCAGCTGGTAAAGTTTAAATTCAATAAATAAGTAAAGTTTTATCTGTAAAGCACATTTCAAAGTGCTTCACAACAAAATGCCATAACACAAAAACAAAAGTTGAAATATGGTGCACTGTGCTAACGTTTCCTCTGACACCACTGAAGTGGTAAATGGACTGGTTCTTATATAGTGCGTTTCTACTCTACTCTATACTCTATACTCAAAGCGCTTTATACAACATGCCTCAATCACCCAACACTTACCATTTTCTATCTAGCATTCCTACACTTTCACAGTCTGATGAGAACATCACAGAGAAACTTGGGGTTCAATATTTTGTCTAAAGATACTTCAGTATGTAGACTGGAGAAGCCAGGGATCAAAACCACAACCTTCCAGTTAGCAGATGACCTGCACTACCCCTGAGTTACAGTCATTCTACAAATGCTCAAGAGAGGATGCTTATGTAAAATAGGGAGCGAGGAGCCTGTAGGCCACACGTTCCCATATCTCAGATATGTTGTGCTCAAGGACACTCCATAAGTCAGTGTTTAGTAATATGGTTTACTACTTAGTGAAACGTATTACTAAGTAGGCTTGTTGTAACAGAGTTGTTACATGCAGCACAGAGACTTATGGCTGATTTTCATGGAATCAAATGTTAAGGGACACGAAACTGGTTACTGGGAAGTCAACAAACTGGTTGTGTTCTGGTATTCAGTGTGATCACAGCCTTTTAAGATGACATCATGAGTCAGTTACTGTAATCTGTGGTTACCGTAACTGTAACTGAATGTTTAGTTCATTAGAGGTCTTCAAACATAAAAGTAAAGATGAAAGAAATTTGTAGTTTAATTGTTCTAAGTTTCATGTCTTTGTTTATTTCAGGTAATCTCCGCTCTGTCGAGGATCTCCCACCACAGCATTGCACAAATCAAAGGCATCAGGTATGAGTCTCATTTCTCTCTCATTTGTCTTTTAGACAGCTGAAGCACTTCCAAATATCAGAGTCAAAGAAGCCATTTGGAACGATTCCACATTTTCTTACCAGCCTATTTTAAAATAGATGTAGCTATTAACGTCTGCTGCTCATTTGAAATTCAATTTACATTTTAGGCAATTAGCAGCAGCATTCAACCTCCACATTATCATGCAGGACAGAAATGACTGACAATACATTCCCATCTGTCACTCAGACAGCGCTGTGTCGTTCGCAGTCAGAATACTTCATTCCATGCAAGAGTAGTCATTTCTAGTCTCAAGTAATGGCGAAGTTGAGAGAGTTCTCCCCATTTATTGGAATGGGCTCCTAAGTTCGTCATTTGCTTGATCTGCTTGGAGCTCGGTGGCTCACCGGCAACACATAAAAAGACATTTTATCTGTCTGAGTAATGAGTTGATGGAGCACAGCCATTAGGAGCTGTGCCAGGAAATGAAGGGAGGGGAAGGAAACAGGGAGCGAGAGAGTGACAGAGAGAAAGCAGGTCCCCTGACATTAATAAAGGCAACATAACCCGCTGACTGCTGGCTAATTCACTGCTTGTACATGCTGACCATTTTGCTGTGAGGTGTCAAAATCAATGCTCATTTGACCTCATTGTAAATCACAGGACTTTTTATTCTCAACTTATTTTACTTTTAGTAACTTTTCAGTTTTTTGGGTTTCACTATTTTTGGAGTGTTTGCCCTTTAACTGATTGATCAGCCACCACAATGCTAAAGTCACAGTTCTAGATAGTTTTGGAGGTTGTACCTCTTTTCTCTGCTATAACTGGGACTATCGTAGATTCTGTAGCTACGTTTTTAAAGACAAATTAACTTCTGCACTATGTCTATGTGGATAAATACAGAGGGAACCTGAACAGGATGAAAAAAACTATTACAAGAGAATAAAATTAAGAATCGATGCATACTCTGAATTATATCACTTCAGACGTCTTACTGTAGTCGTAGTGCAAAAGCAGACAGAAAAGAAAAGCTTGAAAGGTAAGCAGTAGGTATTTGCCTTTAGTAACCCAGAGCTGTTTGGTCTAAAAGTAAGTACTGACCTCTTAGTCTACTCCCCAAAAACAAATGAGAACTTCATCACAATGACTAAAAGATGACTTTATTAAGTAGGGTCACATTTCACTGTTGGCCAGAACAAAAGAATATTGATACTAAAGAGTACACTCATCTAAATCCTAAGGGAATGTGTCAGAAGAGGAATGACATAATACAAAGTGTTGTCTTGATAAGTGGCTGGAAATTAAAAGTACTGCTAAGATGCTTGTTAAAATTTTGTTGTTAACGTGATCTAGTCTCAGAACAGAAAATGACATTTTTAAACTTTTGCAAAGATAACAAAGAGTTAATTGTTTTTAATATTATTATTTTATTATTACATTTCAGTTAAATAAATTATCACTCGAGTAGAAGTCTTTTTGTTTCTCTCAAGCTTTTTAGAAATATTTCTTAGTCTCGACTCTAAGTCAGCGCTTTGTTTTTGTTATTAGCATTGTGTCATATATTTAGTTTAAGCAAGTATGTATATATGAATATATTTCTTATCCATGGTAAATTTGTAGAATATAATGACTTGAAAAGTAATTATTGAAAATGACAGTCACAAGAACATTTCAAGCTTCAGCAATGAGGAGTGCAAGCAAAAGCAAGTCACATACTTGTGATGTGCTTTTACCTTTTTATTTTTACAGGTTTTGAAGCTGTATCGATAAGTGTGGGTAGGATTTATCGTGGCACACTGTTTTCACTCCCTCAGAGATAACACTTCAGACCACCTCTAAAACCGAATAGTTAACATTAAAAAAAGAAAAGAAAATCCCAGAATGCAGAAAATTAATACTAAATGCTAGCCGTAGATGTGGTGACTTAAATTTACATTTCACAGGTGAGTTCGAGGTGAATATTAAAATGAACTATCAGAGTAGCAAACCATTGATTTTTTCCCCCTTAAGTACAGCACAAACAGGGGTTTCATCAGTTTTGTCATTTAAAAAAATGTAATAGGTGACTCAATATTAAGAAAAGACATTAAGAAAAAAAAAATCATGACAAAGTTCCTTTCATTATTTGACTGGGTTTTGACTTGATATATTTGGACTGAATTAGTTGTGCTACACACAAACAAAAGCAGTGCATGAAAGGTTGTTTTAGAAATTGGATTGAGAAGAATATTGTGGAATGGAGGGTTTTTTTTTTAGAGAGCAATTTCAAAGCTCTTTTCCAGCTTAGGCTCCTCAGATTGGAGGGCTCGATGTCCAGATGGTAACTCCACAATCTTAAATGTGCATGCACAGACAGCACATTGTGGCAATGCATTGAACTGTAGACCGATTGGAAAGTTCCTCATTGTGTTAATCGTTTGATAACATTGCCACAGGCATGACTTTGATTTTTGTTGAAGCACATTGATCTTGTCTGTTCGCTGTAATCAGAGCTCAGTAGTTCATGTCTTTGTTTCTGTGTCAGCATTCCAGCCAGAGTCGGGCATTAAGGCGTTATTTCTCCATGCAGACACGTAATTGCACAGAGATGCACTCTGGATAAAATCACTCAGCATTTCACACATTTCCTGGAACCAGCTGATTTTCCTTTGGTGTAATCTCTGTCTATAGTCACCCCTCATTTCTTTAAATTTTGGAAATAGGTGCAGTGATTTATTGAACATTTAAACATTTATGGAATTTACTGACTTTGTATCATTCTAACAAGCCTGAAAATCTAAATTTGGTATGACCACCTTTATTCTTCAGCATATCCTGAACTCTGTTAGGGAACCGTTCTTGTATATCCTCTTCAGGAATAGTTCTCCATGCAACTTGAAGGACATTAAGTGCTTTTATGTGTTTTACATTTTTAATGGGACTTTTCCACATTCATTATTCCATTGATTTTGACAGTATCCCCAACACCACTGACTGAAATGCAGCCCCAAACCATGACAGAGCCTCCATCTGTAGACACTCACTGTTGTATCTCTGTGTACCTCCTCCATACAGACAGATCAACTGAAGGGCTAGATGTATCTCTCAGGTCCTGTGTCAGGTCTTTACTGGACATTTTCCTATTTTTAAGAATATGGCGTTCACATACTGTTCGTCTGTTGTAGATACTTTTTAGGTCTGCCACTTCTTCTTTTGTCCTTCACTCGTTCACTTTATTCAGACACACTGCACACCGCACTGAGATTTGCCAAATTTTGACTAATAGCTCTTTAAGAACCTTGATGAAAAAAGCATTGTGGTTATCTGTGGCATTTTTCATAGATTCAAATGATGAAACAGGAACAAATTCTACACATAACAGGCAATTTAGCAAAGAACAAAATCTAAAATGTGATGATGCATTATTTTAACCCTCTCCTAAAACATATTTTTAGCACTAAAACCTTAACTGGTCCCCTTTTATTTTCTATTTTATTCTGCTTGCCTTCATGATTGACGTTGTCTTCTTCAGTAACAAAACTACAAATCCTCTTTTTTTTAAGCCTCATGTTCTCATCTTTTTGTGTGTCATACGTGTTGACCTTGGCTTCCTTACGGCTTATCTGCAGTATAAGCCTGCATCATCCTCTGCCCTGTTGTCACCCCCAGCCCCCTCCAGACAGCCACCCTACCGCCCACACACACTATCCTCAGCTAACTCTACTGTAACCTTCAACCCGCTTGTGCTTGTGTCCTAATTCATCACTGATCCCTGCTGTTTGAGTGTACAGTATCTCCTGGCCTCTGAGGGATCAGGTCATAGAGTGTAGGACACCTCAGATCACCACATAGACTGATCTGATCAGGAAGCTGACATAAAATAATGATCCTCCAGTGTGATATTGTCACAAGCATGTATTTACATTTGTGAATGTTTACTTTTTAAATATTATAGTGGCTTCATGGTGGTTTGCACATTTGCCTAACAAGCCAAGAAGCCCTGGTTTGATACATTTTTTAAATATTTATTTATCTTGGTTAATCATAGCAGAAGTTTGAAAACTGAAAGTTTTATGGCTTCCCTCCAGGCAGTCACAAATATTTCATCAGATTTACCCAAAGTCTTTCTTCAGATCACCAAAACCCAAGTTTGACTTGAGTTAATTAATCAGTGTAATAAACAAAAATAAAAATCAGACTCTGTAATCATCGTTTGAAATATGCTACATGCTCATGGATAAGCATTCATAGCTCAAAGGATAAGAAGGAGCTTCCTTAAAAGAAGACTTACAGAAAAATATAGAAAAATTGCGAGATATGCTAAATGAAGAAGCAACTGAGACCAAAACTAGACCATAACATTTTTAATCCTTTGTTTTGGGTCAAAATCTGCAAAATGAGGCATTCTTTTTGAAGTTTCCATGATACAAAAGGTTGGAAAAAAACTGCTGTGAAAATTTGTCCAACATTCTCCCTCTTTATATGCAGATGTAGATCCTTTAGCCAGTCAGCTATAGGGACAAACGACAGAGAGAAGAGACAGAGCAGGTTAACAAAGATAATAGGAGGTGTGTGTAACAATGGCGAAACAGCATAGTTGCTTTCTAAATAGGGAATTGGTGATGACATCTCCATCTCTGCTTCCTGAGAACTGCATTAGAATATCGATGTATATTCTATGATAATTAAAAATCTGAAGAATATGGCTAGCTAGCTTAGTTTAGCATAAACACAGAACAAAGGGAAGCAGGAAGTTCTTGCATCTGTCTAAAAGTAACAAAATCTGCCTGTTGACATATGTATTAGTTTATGAACTTATCTATTGTTATTTAAGTTATAAGGAATAATAAAGCACACTTTGTCTGTCTTTCTGTGCTTATTTTGTGCCCCTTTACACCACTGAACATCACGCTTATTAGTACACAGTCATCATGTTGCATGTCTATTTCTGTTTTTCTTATATACCATTTGACTGTACTGCATGTGCTAATTTCTCTGTAAGCGCTGTGAATCCAACTCACATGTGCAGAAAAAAAAGAAAAAAACCCTCCTATTCACATGCTGATTGCACACACTGCCCCTCCCCAGGAAATGAAACTGTAGCAGTGGGTTTACAGGGAGAATGGGGAGATTTATAGACAAGCATGGTACAATAAGTAGCAAAGTGCGGAAGCTTGCTGGAGCTCCAGCGATTTATCGACCCCTGCAGAAATGAAGCCGTGTCCTGGGACATGAAACTGCTTCCATTGCTGACCATTTGAGCTACTTTCACACACAACACCTACACTGTTGTTCTGCTGTTTGACAATAATGGATCAATGGGACTGGCTCATTGCGGATTTGTACAGGACACCTGCACTAACAGTTCCCATTACACCAGAAGAGTGTGGAATAAATTAGACATGATCACAAAGACATTGGGGTTCATTACAGTAATGTAATTCAGTGAGAAAGGAAGAAGAGCTGCAATGTGTAAGATGAGAACTCTGTGATTTATGAAAAATGTTTAGTAAGAAAAACAAAAAACCAAAGCAAAACAATGCTTTATTTGTGCTTAAAGAGATTTTTTACCTCTTGTGGTTTGACCATGAGATGTTTCAAATCAAATAACAAAAGCGACTATAATATTTACACAAGTTGAATCATCCAATTCCTCATTCACCTGCTATGAATTAAAGTAAAAAAACATTCAAATACATAAAAAGAAATACCTCAATGGTTAAAAGTAGGCAAAAACACATAAAGACACCAAATTCATTGGTTATA